TGATTTTGAGTTTTCACATAAATGTTGAAGTAATGGGGAAAATGTCCTTGATAAATGGAATGTATAGCTGTCTTTAGCTATGGACAATTTAAGGAGTATATCAATACAACTGGCGGTCTATAAACCCTACAATCACGTAAAAAATCATTAAAGCGGACACTAATATGACGTTAAAGGGAACCTAAATAAAAAAAAACATAATATTTACGATTATGGACGCAATTAAATGAAGAGTCCTAAAACATTATAATATTAAAATTATCTTTGTGTTTATCATGGAGCCATTAAGACGACCACTTTATAGTAGTATTTATTGATGAACGGTTCATATATCATTGGCAGTTTGTTTATATAAAATTTTGAAACATTTGTTATGAATAGATTTATTAATTTATAAAATAATTATTAATTAAAGTAATAACGACGATGAATGGCATAAAAAAGTAGTTAAAATAAGCACAAATAAATTATCGATTAGACAACATGGAAGGCGCCTCTATAGACTTTTTAAAAAGCATCGCTTTAAAAGTCGGGTAATGCGTATCTATAGATGTCATCAAATGTATATATCCATATAACCAAAACCATAAATATATATGTATGTAGTAACCGACATAGTAAAGCGTCTTTCAAGATATATTGAAAGTCGCCTGTATAAAAACATTAAAGAAATGATCGAGTTTGGTATTTACAGACAAAATATATAGAGGTGTATTTTACGAGGACAGAAAGAAGTTATTATTAGAACATATAAAATCTCAAAAATACATCCTTTTTCTTTAGCTGGCTTGTGACAGAACGATTGCTCCATAGGCCGGGCTTAAAAAAGATTTCCATGCGTCCATTTTCCGAGATGTTGTCTTCTACTTGATCTTTCCATTCTCACAACATGACTAGCCAACGTAATCGCTGCAGCTCGATCCGTCTGACGATGTCCGAGAATATATGGTACAGCTCATGGCTCATTCGACGACAAGTACCCATGTTTAAGATCCCTATAACAGCAAAGGTAGTATAAGCATCGCACCAGCGTTCTCGTCATTTACTGTCAGACCCACTTTGGCAGATTCCTTCTCAATTTGTTCAAAGGCTCGCAATGTTCCACCCGTTATGTCGATGACATCGGCGTAGGCGAGTAACATGTGTTGTTTGGTGTACAGAGTGCCATTTCTGTTCACCTTTACCTCACGTATGAAATTTGTTAAAAGGATCGCACAACAAACCTTCACCTTGTATGAATCCTCGTTCGGTATTAAATGGGTCCGACAGGTCCTTTCCGAATTTAACCGCCAACCTTGTGCCAGTTTAAGTTATTCTGCATAGCCGCATTAATTTTTCAGGAATGCCGGACGCTGAAAGGTTAGGGCTATCGAATGCGACTTTATAGTCGACGAAAAGGTGGATGGTGTCCAAGTGTGTGTGTGTTTTTTTTTTTTTTTTTTTTGTCTTTTCCAATATCTGGCGCAGAGTGAAAACCTGGTCAAAAGTGGATTTGCCAGGCCTGAAGCCGCATTTGTACGGTCCAATAATGTCATTGACCATTGGCTTCAGTCGTTCACACAGCACGCTGGATAGCACTTTATATGCTATGGGAAGCAGACTTATTCCTCTATAGTTGACACATATCGTCTTGTCTCCTTTTTTTTTTTTTTGCACGGGACACAGGATGATGAGCTTTCAATCATTGGGCATGCATACATCTAGCCAATTTGTACAAATAAGCTGGTGCATACTCCTGACCAGAATCTGACCACCGGTCTTGAATTGTAATCAATCGGCACCTGCTGCTTTATTGTTCTTCAGCCGATTATTTGCTACTCTGCCCTCATCATTTGGTGGTATACACTCTATACCGTCATCTCTTATTGGTTCTGGGGTATCTTCTTCACCGTCACTATTTCATACCAGAAGCTTTTCAAAATTCTCCTTCCATATCCTCAATACACTTTCTGTATCTGTCACCAGGTTTCTATCTTCATCTCTACAGGAGGGTGTGCCTGCGCCAAAGCCTTCGGTTTGGTGTTTCACTCGTTGGTAACATTTCCGGACTCCTGTACATCTCGATTTGCTTACGCTCACGTTTTACTTGTTCTTTTTTTTCCGAAAACACGTTTCACTTCTCTCCTTTTCTCCCGATAATTCTCCATCACGTTACGTGTTCCTACTGTCTGCAGGGTTGCCCTATACCCTGCGTTTTTCACATCAGTAGCATTACGACACTCCTGATCGTACCATGGGTTTCTTGATGGTGGTTTTTGGTACCCAAGTGTTGCTTTTGCTGCAGTTTGCATGGAGTGGGTAATTCTCTGCCATTGTGCTTCTATACTATTATCGGACAAGAAGTGCTTTCTGTAAGCAGAAGGGTAAGTTGAGCGGAGTAGGCCTCTGCTTCCTGTTGTGTTTGCAGCTTTTCGACGTCGTGTTTCCGTGTTACATTAGATCGCACCTTTGCTGCTACATTAAGACGGACAGGTGCGAACCTTGGCTGCCACAAGGTAATGGTCCAAATCGATATTCGCTCTTCGCTCATTTTTCAAACAATAAATGCGGTTAAACTTTGAAAAAAATTAACCGCAAAATTTAGCCATACCCCATTTCTATAGATTTTATAGCGTTTTTTGCTTCTTCTGTAAAATAAGTAAAAGTGTAGTTACGTCCGTTTGCATTTATGGTGACGATATTAATTCGGAGTTTCGTTATCAATCATATTTTGAGGAAATTTCCGATATTTTTTTTTTGTGTTGCAACGTGGATCTGCATATAATAAATAAAAGAGGAACATCTAAACAGAACACACTATAAATAACATTGAAGATACATAAACACTTGGAAGATATATAAATCTGATTCGATATATAGGTATTCTAGCTTTACATATTTAATTTGTCAAACTAAATGACATCGTAAGCGAATTAATATTGTGGATTTATTTCTTCAGCAAGTCGGGTGAAAAATATGTAAATCTAAACCAATATTGGCATTTAAGTATCATAGAACATAACTAACCTACAAACATACAATATACGATGACATAGCCCCCAGGAAAAGGCCCTGTTTAGGCGAGGGGTTTGCTCTACTTCTCGCCGTGACTGTGGTGGTTGGAGGGATAAATTTATTAACTCAAGAGAGTGGTGCAAGCGACAACAAGAGAACTCCCAAGCAGTTGATGGTGTATGAAATAGAAAGAAAAGAAATTGCAAAGAAAATAAAACACAAGGATTATTAGTTTTACTATTCTAAATATCTCGGATTTATTTGGTGGTATTATTTTCTTTATTACAACAAATAAATTACCTCTTGTAATTTATGGTGGCGGCGCTGAGACCTGTTAATAACGCGTAGACGTTATACGACTAAGTTACTTCTATGGTTAGACGACAAGTTAACTCTAAGGAGGTTGGTCGACCAGAGACGCTGTGGTTCATGCAATCACAGAGGATTGCGGTGATCGCTGAGAATCGGTTGTCGTTTACTACTACATTTACATATTCCGTGGTGTCAATCAGCAGACTTGATTGACTGAGCTCGGGAAGTTGAGTCAGAACGTATAAATCCCGACCGATTTAAGGAATTCTAAGTACACATCACTTGTTGAAGTAAATAAAAAGTTGAGTTTAGTCATGGATTATTTTTTGCTTACTTCTTCGACTAGGGATACGTAGTCGAGTGAAAAAGACGACTTTTCAATTTTTGCCACTGACCAAAAAGTCGATTTTTAGACTTTTCGACTGTGGCATTTGACTGAAAATGTCGACTTTTGATTTTTCATATGAATTTCTGCCAGATAAAATAAAGTTTGGGAATGCGTAATTTTAGGGCAACTTGGACTTTGTGGTAATAATCCAAGAATTTATGAAGAAAATCGAAAGTCGATCTTGAAAAGTCGACTTTGTGACTTCCTCAAAAGATCAAAAGTCGATTTGGACTTTTAGATTTTTCAATACAAATTGCCTCTTCCTGGGGAATAAGATAGGGCAGACCGATTTATTTTTACTGTGAACTATTGGGGCGGTAGCACTTTATATGTGGTGGGAAGCAGACTTATTCCTCTATAGTTGACACATATCGTCTTGTCTCCTTTTTTGTGCACGGGACACAGGATGCTGAGGTTCCAATCATTGGGCATACATTCCTCTAGCCAATTTGTACAAATGAGCTGGTGCATGCTCCTGACCAGAATCTAACCACCGGACTTGAATTGTTCGGTAATCAATCGGCTACTGCTGCTTTGTGACTTCCTCAAAGATCAAAAGTCGATTTGGACTTTTAGATTTTTCAATACAAATTGCCTCTTCCTGGGGAATAAGATAGGGCAGACCGATGTATTTTTACTGTGAACTATTGGGGCGGTAAAAGAAAGCCTGTTTAACAATTTAGTTCCTTTAAATCTCGTCTTAAACTCTTTCAAGCGAAAACTATTTTAATATTTCCTACCAATGTTTTCGAAATTGGTAGGTTAACAGATGACACTTAAGTTCTTGGTTTGCCAAACTTTATTTCAATTTTTTTAATATATGAAATTTTACATAAATAAACAAAAACACTTACACAATCAGAAAAAATTACAACATCTGAAAAATACGTTATTATTTTATTTGTATATGAACAAATACTAATCAAATGTAATATATTAGACAAAAATCTAGTGCAAGCGGAAAGTGGTGTTAGACAAGCAAAAAAAAATATTACAAAATATATGTGTTTAACCATCCTACACACATCCGAATACAAGAGGCGTACAACAGCAGCAGCCAGTAGGCTTGCTTCCTACAATGAGTTAATACACCTGCGTTACAGACAAAACCAATTACACCCAAAAACCCGAAATACTAACTAAAAATCAACAATTTGTTGTCAAATTAATTGCAATTATTTTCTTATTTTTTTCATTTTTATATCATTTTCTTTATGTGTGTGTATGTATGTGTTATGTTTGTGATATCTCTCTCTACTGAAAATCAAACAAAACGAACAATTGAAATCATCATCACACAGACGATGTTCATCCAAAGATGCGTTTCAGTCTCACACCACCTCCACCGAAAGCGTTACACTCATCGACCATAACAACAACGACGACCACGGCGTCACAACCCAAATGGAATAGCAATAGGAACGGTGGTACTAGTACGGCAATAAATAATTACAACAACAATAATAACAATAACAACGACGACGACGACGATAGCAGCAGCAGTAAGAAGAGGAGCAGTAGCGGAAGCATCAACAGCAACAACTGTGATAAGTACCGTAACAACGTCAAAATGCAACGTCAGGAAGATACAACAAACTCGAATAAAATCAGCAACAGCAGTAGCAGCAATGTCAGCCAACCGGATGATGATGAGTCCACCTCAGATTATAAACAATGGTTGCATGCGATGAAACTGGTAGCACGTCTACCGGGTGGCATACCACCGGAATTTCGCAGGAAGGTAAGTTTGAGAAATAATTGATTTGGAATTATTACTTTTTATTGATTCCACCATAAGGTGGAGGGTATATTACATTTGTTATTCCGGTTGCAACATCTCGAAATATTTGCATAAGATGTCATTTCTGATCTGAATAAAATTCTCAATCAATTTAGAAAATGGAAAATGTTCCTTTTAAAAATTATCACTTTTTTATTACTTACTTAGCTGGCTCGAGACAGAATATTTGCTTCATAAACCGTGCTTAAAAAATATTGTCAGGCACATCGGTCTTGTGTACAGCATTTTCAATTTGAAAGACCATTTTTCGAGATGTTGTCTTCTAATTGATCTTTCCATCGGATTCGTGGCCTTCCCCTTCTGCGTGAACCATCATTTAGCTCGCTTTTATATGCCTTTTTAGCTGGGGCATCATCATTCATTCCCACAACATACCCTAGCCATCATAGTTGCTGCAGCTCGATACGTCTGACTAGGTCAATGTCCGAATATATCTTTCAATGAATTTCTCTCTCAAACACTAAAAGACGTGACTCATCTGCTTGCGCAAGTACTCATGATTTAGATCCACACGGTTAATATCAGCGTCTTGTAGAGTGTGAGTTTGATCTAGCGAGAGGTGGCTTTGTTCCTAAATTACTAACTCAGACCATAGTAGCATCTGTTCCCAATCCTTCCTATCCTTCTCCGAATTTCAAAACTGATGTCATTAGTTTTATTAAGGCGGTATCGAGGTATATAACATCTTTGACTACCTCGAAGCTGTAGTTCTCAAGTTCCACAGTTGGTCCGAGTGTGCTGGAAGTCTTGCTAGATGACACCATCAGCTTAGTCTTCTCATCATTTACTGCCTGACGCACTTTAGCAGACTCTTTCTCAATTCGTTCGAAGGTGGCTGTTACCGCTCGCAATGTTCGACCCATTATGTCGATATCATCGGCGTAGGTGAGTAACATGTGCTGTTTGGTGTACAGAGTGTTATTTCTGTTCACCTTTGCATCTCGTATGACATTTTCCAGCTGAATGTTAAACAGGTTACACGACAAACTGTCACCTTGTATGAATCCTCGTTCGGTAGATAGATCCTTTCCGTCTTTAACTGCTGATCTTGTGCCACTTAAAGTTAACCTGCATAGCCGTAATAATTTTGTAGGAATGATGAACGCAGACATGGCTTTAAACACCTTTGAGCTGATAGGGCTGTCGAATGCGACTTTGTAGTCGACGAATAGATGGAATGTTTCGATGTATTTTTCGTGGGTCTTTACCAGGATGCTGTATGAATAATTGGGATATGGTGGATTTGCCAGCTCTAAAGCAGCATTCGAAAGATCCAATAATATCATTGGCTTCAGTCGTTCACACGCTGGATTGCACTCTATAGTTGGTACATATCGTCTTGTTTTCGTTTCGCACATGGGACCTAGGATGGTTCCAATCATTGGACATACATTCCTCTAGCCAAATTGTACTAATCAGTTGGTACATGCTCCAGATCAGCATCTGACCACCGGGAATTTATTATTTTTCAGACGATTGATTGCTACGCTGGCCTCATCTTGGCTAGGTGGTATACACTCTATACCGTCATCTTTATTGATTCTGGGGTATCTTCTTCATCGCCACTATTTGATAGCAGAATTTTTGCAAGCTGCTCCTTCCAGATCCTCAACACACTATGTGTACTGTAACCAGGTTTTCAGCTTCTATGGTCATTGATGATTTAAATTTAAGCATTCGATAGTCCCCTTTGGATTTGCAGCTATCCAATCCATGATCTTATTGCTGACCGCATCCGTCACCTTCTTATGGATCTCCTATTCATTTTCCCAGATTATTTATTTCCGTCGTTCTCTACATAGCACAGCTGGCCTCTGTACCGCTTCATGGCAACCTTTTCTTAAGCTGACGGCTCCTTATCAAATGTAGCTGCTCTCTCCGTCTTACGTGAAGTTCGGTTAGCTCTTTTGTGATTCCCGTCATCACCAGAAGTGTCTTGTTATGTAAATCAAAAACTTCGAGCACGCGTTCTGTCCCAACCTCTTGTCTTTTTTTTTAATTAAAGAATGTCTCGTTTCTTTACCAGCTTGAGTTTATTGTGTCATTATGGGGACTATACCTGCTACTGATTTTCTTAGGGATTCTCTTTGATGACTCAAATTCAAGATAGTCTCCTTTCTCCTTTCCAAGATAGTCTCCTATCCAGATAAATGTATACCCCATTTACAGCAGTTGCTCCATGTTATTATTGCTGACCGCATCCCTCACCTCCTAATGGGTCTCCTGTTTTAATTTCTCAGACGCAACATTCTCGTCGATCACTGCGTACCAGATATCGTCTCTGTAGCGCTTCCTACCAACCTCTGCATACGCTGACGGCTTCTTACCAAATGTTGCTGTTCTTTTACGTGAAGTCCGGTAAGCTCGACATTACCAGCTATGTCTTGTTATGTAGACCAAAAACTTCGAGCATTACCAGCTATGTCTTGTTATGTAGACCAAAAACTTCGAGCATGTGTTCTGTCCCATCCTATTGCCTTTAATATTTGAGGAACATATCTTTTCCTCCCCAGTTTGAGTTTGATAGTCTCCACTGGGTGACAATACCTGCTATGAATTTTCTCCGGGCTTCTATTCACTTTTATGACTCAAATTCAATCATTAGATAAACTCCATTTGAGTTTGCAGCTATCCAGATCAATAGATAACATTTGCAGCAGGTTATCCATGATCTTATATGCTAATCGTATCATCTACCTCCCTATGTATCTCCTTCTTCAGTTTCCTAGACGCAGTATTCTCGTCGACCACTGGATCTCGTCTATGTAGCGCCCCTGGTAACCTTTGCGTAAGATGGCGACTCCTCGTGACAATCTCCTTTGACTTCGGGTAGGCTGTACCTTCTCTCTATATTTCCGACGGGAAACTCTTTTTCTTATTTGCAAGTTTGGTGTTCGTCTAATTTTCCGGAGACATAATCCTCTTCGATACTTCCGAGGAAGTGGATGAAAAGCAGACATATCCTCCTAAGCATCGCTTTAATGTTAGCTATTATCCCTTTGAACTATCCTGGTCAGTTTTCGCCTTGACAATATCCTTGTTCTCTTCCTTAATAATCTTATCAGTCTCCTCGCTCCTTCGGCATTTTAAGACGGTTGTGTTAGACTTATCCTCATGTTCAGACTCGGAATTGAGTTTGATTCCGCGCCTGTTTCAGAAATTAGTTCGAGATTGATATTCCCCTGTTGATAACGTTGAATAATTTCAGAGCGAACTTTTTTTCCCTATCTAATTTCTTTTTCTTCAGTCTTTCTTTATTGGTTCTCGTTCACCTAGTTCCATTTGATCCAATCGATCATATAGAGATTCTTACACATAACAATCAGCTACTAAAAATGATCAGAGTATGTAACTCTGCATGGATGTTTTTGAAGACGCCAAAATCAATATTTCGATACTTCTGATTATATATTTAATAACCCTTGGGCGCCAAATTTCCTAGCATCGTTTAAACATGTTTTATATTGATTCCATTTGTTTAACATTTATTTCAGCTCTGGCTTTCTCTGGCCGATAAATATTTGAAATCGAAAAATGTTGACTGGACCAAGGAAGAGGAGAAATGTTTTTGTGAAAAGTGGCGAGAAGATGACGAGGAACTGGGTATACAAATTGTTAAGGTAAGACACATATTTAATAAAAATCCAATTTACAATACGGCATTACTTAATTCTAATATTTATTTCAGGATCTTCATCGCACCGGTTCGACCTTGTGTACTGGGCCGGCTGGTGATATCAATCAGGCAAAATTGAAACGTATACTGCTCGGCTATGCTCGCTATAATCCAGAAGTGGGCTACTGTCAGGTAAGGGTTCCTCAGCACTATAATAATATATATGTTAATAATTATTTGTTTTCCCCTAGGGTTTCAATATGTTGGGCGCCCTTATTCTGCAAGTAATGGACAAAGATGAAACGGAGTCAATGAAAGTGATGATTTATTTGGTAGAGGGTATCTTACCTCCCGGTTATTTTTGTGGTTCGATGGGTGGTCTGCAGGCCGATATGGCAGTATTTCGTGAATTAATGCAGACAAAATTGCCACGCTTGGCTAGGCACTTGCAAAAGCTGCAAGGTCCCGTAGAGAATGCCTATGAACCACCGCTGACAAATGTATTCACCATGCAATGGTTTTTGACAATGTTCTGCACTTGCCTACCCATGTCATGTGTTTTACGGGTTTGGGATTTGGTCTTAATTGAGGGCAGTGATGTGCTGCTGCGCACCGCCTTGGCTTTGTGGAGCCTGTTGGAAGAGTGAGTATTTGAGGAGGTTTTAATCGGGGGTTTTAATAATTTTTATTTCTGTTCTGTTTCAGCCGAGTCCTAAGCACCCGTAGCGCCGATGATTTTTATGGCAAAATGGGTTCATTTTCAAGTGAGTTGCTCAATGGCCATTTGATTGATTCCAATGGCTTGATTGAAAAGGTTGTTCAATTGGGACCTATTCAAGATATCCAGAAGCTAAGGGATAAACATCTGTACAGTGTATCGCCATTGAAAAATAAACAGGGTTTGAAGTGAGTATGAAGATTGGTGGGAGCTCAGGATGAAGTTCTAAATTTATTTCCTTTTCAGCCTTTATTATGACGACGAAGAACCGGACATGGATGAAGATTCTCGTCTGGCTGTGGCAACGGTTTGGGGCATACCCTGGGGACGCAGAGGTTCTCAGGGCCAGACCTCAGCAAAACAGGCCGCAGAAAGCAAAGATCGAATTGCCCTCGACATCTCCCTACTGAAAAAGCAATATGATCGATTACGCGAACGCCAAAAGCAGGCCCATATTATCCTAACCACTGCCTGTTCAACTGCCCGCCAGACTACGGCCAATAGTGCTGCCACCATACCGGTTAATCAGTTACTTTCTGGCCGCCCGGCAATTGTGACAAATAGAGGACGTCGTACCGGACCACCACCCGGTGCCATACCACCAGCCCGAAAACCCTCTCTACCGGCTGTGCTGCAGGACAACAAGCCACTCAATCGGCAATTGCGTCGTGGTGAAACCATACAATGGCGGGACAATGTCACAGATCCCAAGCGAAGGCGTGACAGCCTAACATGGAAGGAAATTCGTGCAGAGAGAGCTGCAATGCTTAGCTCGGGTAGTATCGATGGGCTCAAATCGCAAAAAATACGCACAAAACGTTTGGGCAAAAGTGACTCCTCTTCGTACAGTGAGGAAAGTGAAGATGATGATAAGGCTGCCTCGAGTTCGGATACCAGTCTCTGTGATGATGAGAATCCCCCGTCGAAGAGTGCTCGTAAATATGCCTCCAAGGCGGCTTTAATAAAGCAACGTAAATTGGCCACGGAATCAATTGGGGATGCTGGAGATCGCCAAAGACCCAAATCCTGGGCACCATCGAATAGTGAAATCCCTTTTGTTCTTATGACCACGGATTCACCCAGCCACAGTGCCGATGAAGAGTTGGCCAAGAAACCCAGTTTGCCAGAATCATATTTGGAGCTCTCCAAAAAGTTCGATGAACACGAAGAAGAGGAGGAAGAAGCGGAAAATAGTGCCACAGAAAGTGACCAACTGCAAATGGGAAAATTGAATGGTGCTCCCTATTCGCCATTGGCCAATGAAGATTTACCGGATGTGGCGCCCAAGGTGGAACCATTGCTCATTGAAACGGATATCATGGCTCCCAGCTCAAAGGATATACGCCATCTAACACCACCCATTACCGATGTGGTGGATATCTTAGCAATATCCAAGGTTTTGGCTAACCCTCCTAGTGCCAAAGTGGAATCCCTTAACTCTTTGGGCAGCAATGACGGAGATGCTGAGGAGGAGAGGAAATCTTTCGGAGTCAGTGATGAAGGTGTTACAAATGAATATTTCGAAAGGGTCAATAGCAGTGAAAGGCCCACGAAGTTGGAGTTGATGTATTCCCTCAATGAAGAGGATTCCATAAGGGATGCCTATAAGGATGACAAGAAATCGGGAGTAAATGATGAAGAACCCAAAAAGGGAGAGGAGAGTAATGAACTTCAAAGTCGTCGCATGGATCTTTTGGTGGATTATTCAGAGAAATCTTCCGCGGCCTGTATTGCTGAGGCCAAAACAGAAATCTCCAGTACATTACAAAGGGCAGAGTTAACTCAGGAACCCGCAAAGCCTCCGGCTTATGTGAGTTCAGCGGCTGCCAAACGTCGTGATCCTAGGCGGCTTACTTTGACACGCTCAACTACCATGGAAATTGAAGAACGTTATCAGGCCTTGGAGAAGAGGATGAGTATGGAAGTCAATACGAAGTATGGCAAAAAGGAAACTGAGGAGAAGGAGGAGCAGGAAAAATATCGATCATATCCCATAAATGGTAGGAGAGATCATGATGAGGAACCAAAGTCAATTACTCGGGAGCAAGGAGAAGGCATACAGAGAGAGCATTTCCAAATGCCTCATTTCCCCAAATACACACTGGAGCAGAGTGAACCAAAATCGAGGTCTTATGAAAACCCCATTGGAGAAGAGTCCACAAAACCAAAAGAGAGCTTCTATCAGCCAAGGTATCACATCCCCTCTCTCGAAACAAAGAGCAGAGAATCCGAAGAGTCTCGGTCAAGAGAAAATCTTTATAAGCGAGGAGAAGAGGATGAGCGGAAATATGAACCCAGTGAAACGTACAAATATCGATCGTACCCTCATGAAAAATATACTCACTCCCGAAACTCAATATCCTCCACGGGTCATCTCAAGGATCCTGAACTCTCTCGATCGTATCATCACACGAATCGCATTTCTCTTGACGAAGAGAAACTCTCTTCGTTGTATGAGGATTCAAATAGTTCCCGACCCTATCATGTGGAAAGACTTTCCCGACTTGAAAGTCATTACAAAACTCATTCCAAATCATTTGATAGACCTCATCCTGCTCCTGCATCTAGCACCACCAAGCCTGATGAACTCAACGATGTACAACGAAAACCGGTTATACCATCAACTGCCGATTTAGAAGAACGTTTTGAAAATATGATCCGTGATCGTAGCAAACAAATCGCAGAGGTTAGTGATTCGGAAAAGGGACGAAGCTCAAAAAAATCACCACCACCTCAACCACCATCACAATCCAGGGAAAATCCACAACGTGATTCAACACGAGACAACGCAAAACGCTCACAACAAACAAGCAATACCAGGCAAAGTGACAGCTCACGTGATGATGTTCAATCTCAGGGTAAACAATCGGATCGTGAAAGTGATTATGCCGAAGAACAAGATAATGTCGAAGAAGAGGAATTAGGCGAGGAGGAGGGAGAGGAAGAAGATCTGGCTGATGGAAGAGCCAGTGTGGCTTCAAGTAGTGTTCCTAAGTCAAGTACCCGACAGAGGAAGAAGGAACCTCCCGATACCGAAAATGAGTTCAGTGAAAGGGATTCCGATATTGCTCAAAGTCGTGAGGCTCTCTCCGATGAGGAGGAGAGATCGATAACGGTTTCGGGACATGATACTCCCGTGGAGGATTCCGAACCAGAACTGGAAGCAGAAGAAGAACAAGAAGTTGAGGAAGAAATCGCAGAAGAGGAGCAGGAAGAAGAACCTCAACAATCGAGAAGACAATCAGATCTTAAGATCTCTCGCAGACCCTCTGAACAAGCCACCACTTCCCGAAGACAATCCCAATTATCGGTTTACTCACGAAGGCAATCTCACAGCACCGATGACCGAGAACTGGAGGACAGATCTACACGCCGTTCCTCTAAGGCTTCACGGAAATCTCCTCCTTCAACAGAGGAATTGGAGAAACGTTTTGAGGCTTTGGAAAAACAAATGAGCATAACACGATCTGAGGCCAGTGAAGATCCTTTGGAGGAGTCCACACCACGTTACAGACCCGTGGAATATGATGATCGGCAAAGTCCCGATGGCTATTCGGAATTAGATGAACAACAACAGCAGCAGCAACAACAAATGGAAGTGGAGGAGGATGGAAGTGAAGCTGGCGCCGAAGAAGAAGAGACGGTCGAAGATATTGCCCGATCCCAACGAATCAAGGCCCATGTCATAGAGGCAATGAAGGGGTCTGGCTCCGCTTTTGCCTCCGATGATGAGGATGAAACATCAAGGCATCAGCGTATGGCGGCCAATGTTCGGGAGGCAATGAAAAAAACCAAAGCGGATGATGCTGAAAAGGAAGCGGAACGTAAGCGACGTTCCGACAAACTAAAACTTGATGTTCTGGAGGCAATGAAGTCTGCATCCGCTTTACCCTCACCCGAAGAAGGTGCCACGAGGTCACAAAGTAGCATGGCCGCCAATGTTATGAAGGCTATGAAATCCTCCAGCGCTCGGCACACAGAGGGTGAAGAAGCTTCCCCGGAGAGGTCCACCCGAGCTAAGAAAGAATCTATGGCTTCCAGTGTTATGGATGCCATGAAATCAAGTTCCGCAAAGCAACAGCGTTCAGATAAAATCAAAGCCGATATGATTGCGGCAATGAAGTCAGCGGGAGAGGAAGAAACTTCGGAGAAAGAAGAAGTTTTAGAAGCTTCGAGCAGCAAAATGGCCAGCAATGTTATGGCTGCCATGAAATCCTCCAGCAGATCAGATAAAATCAAGGCTGGCATTATAGCTTCCATGAAATCGGCCACGACACCTGATGAACCGGCCGCTCAAACCTCCACAGAAGAGCCGACACGGAAACTTAGCAGATCTGAGAAAATAAAGGCTGGAATTATTGCCTCTATGAAATCGGCCACAACTCCTGATGAGCCCACGGCCCAAACTCCCACGGAAGAGCTACAGAGGAAACAAAGTCGATCAGATAAAATCAAGGCTGGCATAATTGCCTCCATGAAGTCTGCAGGCACTCCCGAGGAACCAGAACCGGAGACACCTACAGAGGAATCGACACAAAAACCTAGCAGGTCAGATAGAATTAAGGCAGGGATAATTGCTTCGATGAAATCGGCCACAACACCCGAAGAACACGTGGCCCAAACACCCACAGAAGAGTTACAGAGGAAACAAAGTAGATCGGAGAAAATCAAGGCGGGAATTATTGCCTCCATGAAATCGGCCACGACACCTGATGAACCCGTGCCACAAACACCCACAGAAGAAATACAGCGCCGGCAAAGTCGGTCAGATAAAATCAAGGCTGGCATAATTGCCTCCATGAAATCTGGCAGTACCCCAGATGAGCCAACAGCCGAAACCCCGACAGATGAATCCGCGAAGAAACTCAGCAGATCAGATAAAATCAAGGCAGGTATTATTGCCTCCATGAAATCTGGAAGCACTCCTGAGGAACCAGAACCCAAAACACCCATTGAAGAAGCGGCGAAAAAGCTGAGCAGGTCGGATAAAATGAAGGCTGGCATAATTGCCTCCATGAAATCTGGCACAACCCCAGATGAACCGGAACCCGAAACTCCAACACCCACAAAGGATGTTAGTAAAAGTCTAACCAGATCAGATAAAATAAAGGCGGGTATTATTGCATCCATGAAATCTGGCAGCACTCCTGAGGAACCAAAAGCCGAAACTCCCACAGAGGAAGCGGCCAAAAAACTCAGTCGATCAGATAAAATCAAGGCTGGCATTATTGCCTCTATGAAATCGGCTACCACACCTGAAGAACAACCACCAACACCAGAAGCTGCTAGTAAATCACAAAAATCCCTCTCCTCTCAGCCTTCGGAAGATAGTGAGAAACGTAAACGTTCGAATAAAATTAAAGCTGAGGTCATATCGGCAATGAAGTCTGATCACTCCTCCGCTGGAGAGGGTAAAATGGCTTCAAATGTTATGGCTGCCATGAAATCATCCGCACAACACACCCAGGAGAAGGTCAAGAGAACCAATAAAATAAAAGCGGATGTTATTGAGGCCATGAAACCCCATGAAGAGTCCCAGAAACAGCGGTCCCACAAAATGGCCACCAATGTTATGGAGACCATGAAATCTTCGGTGAAACGTAAGGAGGATGCCTCTGAGAAACCCAGCAAAACTCGCCCGTCACCAACAAAGGAGGAGGAGGCCAAACAAAAGAGATCACAAAAAATCAAATCCGATGTTATTGAGGCCATGAAAGGCTCTTCACAAACCCCCGAGGAGAAGTCTCACAAAATGGCCACAAATGTTATGGAGACAATGAAATCTCACAGTACTCGCCGTACGGCTGGGGAGACAAGCTCCAAAGCGAAAGCAAAGGCAGCGGATGAATCGGCAAAGAAAGCTGCAGCAAAAACCTCAGATGCTAACACTTCAGCTCCTGGCAGTCGACGTTCCTCGGAGCCACCATCCACTGAAGACTTGGAAAAACGTTATGAGGTCCTAAAGAGACGCATGAGTTCACGCAAAGATTCCATGCAGGATTCCCAGGTGAAACCAAAAACCTCGCCACCCTCAACCGATTCTCTGGAGAGGCGTTTTGAAAAACTGCAAAGCGACAAGACAATATCCTCGGATGCGAAGCCGAAGAAACCGAAACCAAGCGAAAGCCCCAAGTCCATACCGACACCTCCAACTCCACCCAAAGACTGGTCTGAGACAGAACAATCAAGTCCCAGTCAAGAACCCAGTACTCGTTCAGCTCTCATCGAAGAGCTGCAGGCCAAAATGGGTCCCACGCCCAATGGCGAAAACATTAAGCCCAGCTCCATAAATCCGAATCGCAAAACGCCAGCAATGCTGCGCAAATCCAAAACCGATGAAACTTCGGAAACACATGCGAACGCTCACGCTAATAACCTTTCGGAAAAACGCTACGAACTATTGCACCCATCCGGTCGCAAAATGGTTCGTCGTTTTTCCGATTTACCCTCAAGAGCCGATCTTGAGAATCGTTTACTATTCTTGGAAGAGCAATTGAACCGAACTCTATTGAAGCAACGTCGTGCAAGTGATTCCGAAGTGGCATCGACCAGTCGGCAACATCAGCAACGCCACTATCAACCCATAAAACCAATACCGGCCACAATACGGCATGTGGGTAAATTGGAGTCACGCGTCTTAGAATTGGAACGACAATTGAGTGCGGGATCGAAATTCAAAACCACCACGACCACCACAGAATCGCAAAATAAAAACCTTGAGAACTCCGCTGAACTGAGTTCTTCACAAATGGACTTGGAGATAAGGGCCGATTCGGTTAATGTCACGGGTAAGGAGTTGGTGCGTTACAACAATTATGGCGAGCTGCAGGAACAGGACTTCCAAAGTCCCATAAATATAAGTATAAATATTCATATGACCCTGAGTAAGGAGGAGTTGGGAAAGGCGGCCACACAATCGCTGACACGAGCCGAGGAACTCAGTCGAAGGCTGTTGATTTTGGAGGAGCAGCTGAAAAATTCCCAAAGGATAATTGCCTCGACAGCTACGCCTGTTGTTGAGATGACAAGGGAACTGGGTGCTCCGCCTGAATCATCCCAGGAAAATGTACAACAGGAGGCGGATAATGTCCCGCAAAAAGATGAGGGAGAGGATGAAATTGTAATCCCTGAAGATACTAAGGTGGCAAGTGAGGATGTGGCTCCACAGGAATCTGCAGAAATCAGGGAATCCGAAAAAGATGTTTTAATAGAGGAAGGTGATGCCTCAAAACAGGAAATACCCAAAGAAGAAGAGGAAAAGTCCGAAGAGAAAAAAGAGGAAAAACCAACCCCAGAAGCAGCAAAGGAAGTGAAAACCGAAGAATTAAGGCCTGAACCTCTGGATAAAAAAGAAGTTCCTTCCGAACCTCTCGATAAGGCAATGGCAGAAAAATTGGAAATATCAAACATGGAGGAAAAGGCAATGGCGGAAAAATTGGAAAGATCAAACAAGGATAATGACTTCGATAGACGTCTTCAAATTTTGGAGGAACACATAAAGCATTCGAAGCCCATTAAGATCCCTGAAACCCATGGGCCCAAGGAAGTCATCAAAAATCAAAACGAAGCAAAGCCCGAAGAAGAAAAGGCAGTAGAACCCAAAAAGGAAGCAACCAAAGAAGAAAAGGAGGTGGAAAATAAAACAGTCAAAGAAACCGAAGTTCAAAAGGCTAAGGAAAAGGAAATGCAAGAAGCTCCCAAGGAAACTAAAAAAGAAGCCTCCACTCAAGAAGAAAAAACAGATATCAAAGAAACTTCGAAAACGGAACTTCCCATAAAAGAAATCCCCAAGAAATCCTTGCAAGAAGATAAAGCACAAATCTCCGACAGGGCCCTGGGACATCTCCACGGTACCCAAATGGTACCCGTTGAGGTGAATAAGAAAACCCTAGTATTACTACTCGACAATGAACCCAAAGCTGTTAAGGTACGACGCCTAACCCGCGCCAACACTGAAGAATTAGAAGATTTATTCCAGGCCCTCGAAAAGCAACTACTCGAACGTGGACAAATTAAACCCGAAGATGTGGGAGCCAAAGATCCAAAATCGGCCCAAGAAATGTCCGATTTAACCAAAGAAATAATGCAGCTTTCAAAGACGGCCAAAGAAGAAGCGACGTTGGGCGCCACCAGCACTGAATCATCGCCTAAGAAAAAATCCTCCACAAAACCCCCGGAGGAAGATTTCGATTGGGGTAAAGATCCCGTCAAGCATCATTTACGCAAGAAGACAGTCTATTTACCCTCAACTCGAGAGTTGGAATCACGTTTCCGTTCGCTGGAACGACAAATCAAAATGCTCGAAGATGTGGAGAAAATCGATGTGGAACAACGTCTAACGGAAATTGAAAGGAAAATTAAACTGCAATACTCCCTGTCGCATGAAAAGGATTTAAATCGTTTCTTGGATCTGTGTGAGGGTAAGGGTCTCGATGATATACCTGGGGTGGGTAGTGGAGAAACTCCTGGCTCCGAACGTTGTTCTTCCTCGCAGAGTCAACATCAGCAACAACAACATTCCAAGAAACATCAATCTCCTGTCAGATTTGCCGAAGCTCCTGAATGCTGTGATCACCATTGCCATTGCAGTTCATCACCAGCCAAGAAGAAGGAACACCAATCACCTGTTCGATCTGTAGAAAGTCCCCAACATCATCACAGTACCGCCGCGAAGCCCACAACCGAAGATCTCGAATATCGTTTTCGTGCCATGGATCTACATCGCAAATCAAGGCCTAGAACAAAAAATGAACCCAAACGTGAACCCATACATCCCCTGGAAATGTTACTCGATCCCAGTCCCGACGATATACCAACAACCGGAGAGTTGGAACATCGCATGAAAATGCTGGAGGAAGGTCGCACCCCTTCACCCTCCGCCCTGAAATCCCGCTCGAAATCACCGGCTAGCAAAGAAAGGGATGCAGCCGCTGCCGCCGCTCAGCAGGTAAATGAACCCAGCAGCCCAAGCGGTCTACCAACTGCTGAACAGTTGGAAGCCCGCCTAGAGGCATTGGAAAGGGAACAACGATTCGATTTTAAAATGCAGAAAAACTATAAAGAATTCAATCAAAAATTGAAGGACATTATATCACCCTCGCTGTCGTTTGAGGAATTTCGCGCTACTCGTTCATCGTCGGCAGAATCGGCCAAGCGTAATTTGAGCAGCCATCGATCGCCATCACCCAAAGTTGCAGTAGCTCAATGTACCGGAGATGCTGCAACTTGCCCCAACAAAACGATACGATTTCATGACGATGATGAGCAGCTGCCGCAACACCACCAACAACAGCAACAATCGAGGACACGTCACGACACAGAATCCATGGTTAGCACCAATAGTAGTGATGTGATTCAAATATTAGAAGAAAATTCTAATATTTTGCAACGTATTTTAAAGAAATCAATTACAGATACGACTGGCGCAACGTCAACACTATCATCGGTGCCACCGCATTTAGCCAGTTCGGTGCAGGAAGGCCTTGGTGTAATGGGAATTCGTTTAATGAGGGTGAGTATGGAGACACAAATGATTCTATACAGTAATCGGAGGACATATAGAAAAACAGACCTCAGAGGACCTGAGGATATTTTTTCTATAGAAAAAAGACCTCAGGAGACCTGACGAACTTTTTTCTATAGAAAAACAGACCTCAGGAGACCTGACGAACTTTTTTCTATAGAAAAACAGACCTCAGGAGACCTGACGAACTTTTTTCTATAGAAAAACAGACCTCAGGAGACCTGACGAACTTTTTTCTATAGAAAAACAGACCTCAGGAGACCTGACGAACTTTTTTCTATAGAAAAACAGACCTCAGGAGACCTGAAGAACTTTTTTCTATAGAAAAACAGACCTCAGGAGACCTGAAGAACTTTTTTCTATAGAAAAACAGACCTCAGGAGACCTGACGATAATTTTTATAGAAAACCAGACCTCAGGGGACCTGACGATAATTTTTCTATAGAAAAACAGACCTCAGGGGACCTGACGCATAATTTTTCTATAGAAAAATAGACCTGAGGGGACCTGACGACTTTTTTCTATAGATCTAAGATCCATAACCTAACACTCTCTCTATGTTGCTCTTTTTTCTTTTAGGAAACATCACCACTTCGCCGCAAAGGCACCCACACGGGTGTCCCCTTGCGTACGGGAGAAAACATCAACGATCAGCTAACATCCATCCGATCAACCATTAAATCCATCGACAGCCTGTGTGAGGAGAAACCCTATCGCACCGAACGATGCCTTCAGTACATCGATTCCCTGTGTTCCGATTCAAATTATTTTGCTAGTAAAAAATCATCATACGACGATTTGAGATCACGTCACAGTAGCCGTTCACGATCACGTGATCCCTATGGCGGACCCTCAATACGAATTTCCGATCAAAGTTCAGCCTATATGCGCACCACAATGGGCTCAGCGGATTCCATACGTTCTTCCAGTCCCCGAAGGGCCACCAGTCCCCTGCAATACCATTCGAATCGTGACCTGAGACGGGAGATATCACCGCGACGCCGTCGCAACGAAGAGGATAGGGAAGAGAACGAGAGTAGGGTAAGACGTGATAATCTATTGCCAAATTCATTATATTATCCATATAATCATAGCTCACTAAGTCCAAGTAGTCATAGTTTAACTAAGTTTCATAAAGTAGATAGCCAACTAATTGCAACCAATGACGATGTCGATTGTATCGATGTCGAAATACAACAAATATACCGACAAGCCACGACGACGACAGCACACGGTTCCACTGAGACCACAACCACAGCAGCAATGTCAATTCAGGACAGTAACACAAATACCTCTCTCTCCAACAACAACACTCAAAAACTCAGCAACACAACAACAGCTAACTTAGATTCCGCCGCCGCTTACAAGGGCAGCCTTGGTTTAGATCGGCCCATATCACCGTACCGCCAATTAGGTATTTCTCGTTCGAATACACCCGTATATACACCGGCCAAATTAGAGATACGCCACACCACAGTGACATCGACATTTTACGATCGTGTTCTAACCGAAAAGCAATTAGAGAAGAAGCTCTCCCAGAATAGCTTAACAGCCACAAGCACCTCCACCAACACTACCACCACTACTTCGAATGGCAGCACTATACCGCCAACCAATAGTGCCCAACGATCACCCATAGTGGAACAGGTACCTCCGCTCAAGCCTTTAGATACATTTTCTCTGCCAACGACGGTATTGTCGGTGTCGGAATCAGCGACCACAGCAAAGACGGCTGTTACGGTAACAGCTACCGAACCTATCGTAGCTGCTACCGTAATTCCGCCTTACGCTTCTTATATTGGCATTGAGCCGACTTCTCTAACAGATACCACCATTTCGAATCTACCCAGCATTTCGACTGCACCCATTACCACAGGTAATTATGGTAGTTTCCCTCCCCTAGCAACAACAACATCAGTGCCTGCGGCAACAACCATTTCTCTTGAACCATTGCCAGTGTTGCCACCAATTGCTTCTGTCTCCAACACAATCCCCACTGCAATGTCGTCCTTCATATCGTCCACATATCAACCGAATGTGTAAACAAATTACTTGTGGCCCTTAGTCCCCTCTCACCTCTTCTCAATCCGAACATTATCATGCTTTCAATAATGGATCTAGGAGAAACGCTTTTGGGAAGATATTCTCATCAAGACATTGCTTATAAGAGATCGAACATAGGGTTTTGATACGAGGCAAGCAATATATGGTGGCGAATAACCTGAGGTAGTTATATAGACAAAAATTCCTCAGGTCCGCTGAGCTATATTTTTCTATAGAAAAATTATCCGTCAGGTCCCCTGAGGTCTGTTTTTCTATAGAAAAATTATCCGTCAGGTCCCCTGAGGTCTGTTTTTCTATAGAAAAATTATCCGTCAGGTCCCCTGAGGTCTGTTTTTCTATAGAAAAATTATCCGTCAGGTCCCCTGAGGTCTGTTTTTCTATAGAAAAATTATCCGTCAGGTCCCCTGAGGTCTGTTTTTCTATAGAAAAATTATCCGTCAGGTCCCCTGAGGTATGTTTTTCTATAGAAAAATTATCCACAGGTCCTCTGAGCTATGTTTTTCTATAGAAAAATTATCCTCAGGTCCCTCGAGTTATGTTTTTCTATAGAAAAATTATCCTCGGGTCCCCTGAGCTATGTTTTTCTATAGAAAAATTATCCGTCAGGTCCCCTGAGGTATGTTTTTCTATAGAAAAATTATCCGTCAGGTCCCCTGAGGTCTGTTTTTCTATAGAAAAATTATCCGTCAGGTCCCCTGAGGTCTGTTTTTCTATAGAAAAATTATCCACAGGTCCTCTGAGCTATGTTTTTCTATAGAAAAATTATCCTCAGGTCCCTCGAGTTATGTTTTTCTATAGAAAAATTATCCTCGGGTCCCCTGAGGTCTGTTTTTCTATAGAAAAATTATCCGCCAGGCCCCCTGAGGTCTGTTTTTCTATAGAAAAATTATCCTCAGGGCCCCTGAGGTATGTTTTTTTATAGAAAAATTATCCACAGGTCCTCTGAGCTATGTTTTTCTATAGAAAAATTATCCTCAGGTCCCTCGAGTTATGTTTTTCTATAGAAAAATTATCCTCGGGTCCCCTGAGCTATGTTTTTCTATAGAAAAATTATCCTCAGGTCCCCTGAGCTATGTTTTTCTATAGAAAAATTATCCTCAGGTCCCCTGAGCTATGTTTTTCCATAGAAAAATTATCCTCAGGTCCCCTGAGCTATGTTTTTCTATAGAAAAAATTTTCAGGCCTCCTGAGGTCTGTTTTTCTATAGAAAAAATTCTCAGGCCTCCTGAGGTCTGTTTTTCTATAGAAAAATTATCCGTCAGGTCTCCTGAGGTATGTTTTTCTATAGAAAAATTATCCGTCAGGTCTCCTGAGGTATGTTTTTCTATAGAAAAATTATCCGTCAGGTCCCCTGAGGTATGTTTTTCTATAAAAAAATTATCCGTCAGGTCCCCTGAGGTATGTTTTTCTATAGAAAAATTATCCGTCAGGAGGTCTGTTTTTCTATAGAAAAATTATCCGTCAGGTCCCCTGAGGTCTGTTTTTCTGTGGAAAAATTATCCTCAGGTCCCCTAAGGTCTGTTTTCTATAGAAAAATGATCCTTAGGTCCCCTGAGGTCTGTTTTTTCTATAGAAAAGTGAGGATCGAATTTTTCAGGAACCATATATTGCTTGCAATTTGCTCTTGAAACATATTCACCCGCACAATATAAATATATACGATATTTAAGCTGCCGATTTTCTTCTTCACCTCCATTGCACCTCCCCTGCTGTTACCCCGTAATCTCTTCACTACCGATTTTATGACATCGTTCGTTTGTTAGGGCTTTGAAGAAAGTAGGATATTCATACTCACAACTTATAGGAACATTTTTTCAATCTTGCACTGCTAAAGGCTGGCGGTAATGGCGTACGACTACAAACCTGAAGGCGTTCGCCATTGGAACCCCAAAACCGATACTGCACCTCATTTTTCACCAAAAAAATCACAAGAAAATAAAAACCAAAACACAATGTTTGAAGCTTTCGTTCGTTCGTTTGTTGATCGTTAAAACTCACTATAACAAAACAAAAGAAAAAAGAACTTAATACTCTCTTTTATATTTTGTTGTGATCTCTTTTTTCTCTTTCTCTCAAAAACAAAACCAACAAAAAAATAAATTTTACAAAATATGCTCCACTTTTAACCCCCCTCTCTCAAAAAACCAAAAACCACAATTAACAACTAACCACAACTAGACATTGGCTCCAAGTAAAATAAATTAGAAACAAAGAATGAGAAGAAGAAGAAGAAGTAATGCAAATCAAGGATGAAAAATTACAAAAACAAATAAAAATATAACTAAAAAACAAAATGTGCTTTAATTCGACAAAAATTCGATAATGAAATGGAAACCAAAGAAATTTTGATTTTAAAATCAAAACAAAAATTGTAAATTGTAATTTTTATCCCAAAGAAAAAAATTAAATAAATAAAAAATATGTTCAATTAAATAAACAAGTTCTAGGCTCTCTAACTTTCTATATAAACAGGGTGTGCCAAAAAATAATTTCAAGCCGATCCGATTTTAATAAAAAAAATATATTCAATTCAAACAAGAGGCGTGGATTTTTAAATGGAAATACTTTCAAGGCAATTCCGAGAGGCGTGGATTTTTAAATAAAAATATTTTCAAGGCACTTTCGAGAGGCGCGGATTTTTAAATAAAAATATTTTCAAGGCAGTTCCGAGAGGCGCGGATTTTCAAATAAAAATATTTTCAATTCAAAATTCTTCAAGTCCCCTGAGGACTTTTTTTCTATAGAAAAATTATCCTCAGGTCCCCTGAGGTCTGTTTTTCTATAGAAAAATTATCCTCAGGTCCCCTGAGGTCTGTTTTTCTATAGAAAAATTATCCTCAGGTCCCCTGAGGTCTGTTTTTCTATAGAAAAATTATCCTCAGGTCCCCTGAGGTCTGTTTTTCTATAGAAAAATTATCCTCAGGTCCCCTGAGGTCTGTTTTTCTATAGAAAAGTTATCCTCAGGTCCCCTAAGGTCTGTTTTTCTATAGAAAAATTATCCTCAGGTCCCCTGAGGTCTGTTTTTCTATAGAAAAATTATCCTCAGGTCCCCTGAGGTCTGTTTTTCTATAGAAAAATTATCCTCAGGTCCCCTGAGGGCTGTTTTTCTATAGAAAAATTATCCTCAGGTCCCCTGAGGTCTGTATTTCTATAGAAAAATTATCCTCAAGTCCCCTGAGGTCTGTTTTTCTATAGAAAAAAATCCGTCAGGTCCCCTGAGGTCTGTTTTTCTATAGAAAAATTATCCTCAGGTTTTTCTATAGAAAAAAAACCGTCAGGTCCCCTGAGGTCTGTTTTTCTATAGAAAAATTATCCTCAGGTCCCCTGAGGTCTGGTTTTCTGTAGAAAAATTATCCTCAGGTCCCCTGAGGTCTGGTTTTCTGTAGAAAAATTATCCTCAGGTCCCCTGAGGTCTGTTTTTCTATAGAAAAATTATCCTCAGGTCCCCTGAGGTCTGTTTTTCTATAGAAAAATTATCCTCAGGTCCCCTGAGGTCTGTTTTTCTATAGAAAAATTATCCTCAGGTCCCCTGAGGTCTGTTTTTCTATAGAAAAATTATCCTCAGGTCCCCTGAGGTCTGTTTTTCTATAGAAAAATTATCCGTCAGGTCCCCTGAGGTCTGTTTTTCTATAGAAAAATTATCCTCAGGTCCCCTGAGGTCTGTTTTTCTATAGAAAAATTATCCTCAGGTTTCTATAGAAAAATATTTCTCAGGTCACCTGAGGTCTGTTTTTCTATAAAAAAAATCCGTCAGGTCCCCTGAGGTCTGTTTTTCTAGAAAAAAAAAATCCTCAGGTCTCCTGAGGTCTGTTTTTCTATTGAAAACGCCTGAGAATTCTTCAGCGTCCTCATTTCTTCTATAATTTTTTTTGACACACCCTGTCTATATGTCTTTTTATATACAAAAAACCATTATATAGAAATTTAGTTAAATTCTTCTAACTCAATACCACTTAACTTTACAGTATTTAATTTTATTTATTATTAAATAAAATATATTTAAATTAAATAATTATTATATTATTATTAATAATTTTTATTAATAATTATTATTATTGCAGTTGTTATAAAAACCCAAAAATTCGAATAGAAACAAAAAAAAAAACAAAATTTTTAATTTAAAAAATAATGTTATACTCTCTTTATGATATATATTATATATATATATATATATACAAAAAATGCAAACAACAATTATAGCTAAAATAAAAATTATATTAATAATTATAGACAACAAAAAATAATAATATAAACAAATATATATAATGTATACTACATATATTTCGAATGCCTAATGTTCAATGTATTTACAACTACTATACTTCCATAAATTTGAAATTATATAATTTTTATATGTATGTGTACCCACATACATATAAAGATTATTATAATTTATCAAAATGCGATATTAAATTTCACCCTTCCATCCCTCATATATACTTTTTCCCTCTGCCTCCCATTACACCAAATTAAAAAATAAATGAAACGGCATAATATGTTATATAAATGTTACTTTACATTGTTTGTTATTATATAATACCAAATAATAATTGCAAGAAAAAATAAAAATAAATTGAAAAGAAAAGAAAACAATTAAACCAAAATATAATGCGCATACTTATGGTCATGTGTGTACTCAAACACAAACATTCGTACACACATACAAAAAAACAAAAACAACAACAAGCAAAGCATATATAGTTATATATATTTCTGAAATCTAAATAAATTCCAAAAAAAAAATGAAATGAAAAAAATTATACGATAAGAAATGAGTTTTTATTTGAGGAGGGGCAATAATATGGTGGCCGAAGACTGTAAAGAAAAGTGGTAAGTCTAATAAAAAATACCCCTAAAGGAATTTCCAGAGCTACAAGCGTGGATTTTGATGTTGATGGTGTTCTCGAACTACAAGCTTTGATTTCGAAATAAAATACTTTCAAGGAATTTTCGATCTCCAAGTATGGATTTTTAAATAA